AAACCAGAATGGTAACTCATAGGAAACTTTAATGAACTGTATTGACTGAACTATGCCACGTATCATCTTTTTGTATTATTAAAGTTGTTGTTACATGTTATTTTCATTATCAAACCATCCATGACAATGGATCATGTAGAGAAGAACATTAAGAAAAGACAAGATAGTGAGGATCCCCCCCACCCCCCACTGTGCAACTCACTTCAGTGCTCAAAGCCCATGGACAAGGCCAGAAAGGGTTCAGGGCTACAGTTTGCTCTGGCATGGGACACTAGGAGAAGTGAGGATTTTTACATTATGGTTTTACCTCAATAATTACAGCAGGAATTGAGAAACTGCCATGTGTTATTTGTTGTGAAGTTCTATCAGCCAAATCTATGAAGCTGAACAAACTAAAATCCCATTTTGATAGCAAGCATCTGAGCTTTGCCGGCAAGGATACCAACTATTTTAGAAGCAAAGCTGATGGACTCAAGAAAGCCAGACTTGACACCGGTGACAAGTACCACAAACAAAACGTAGCAGCTGTTGAAACTTCATATTTGGTGGCACTCAGAATCGCCAGAGCTATGAAACCTCACACCATTGCTGAGGATTACTGTTGCCAACGGCCAAAGACATTGTTTGAGTTATGACCGGAGATGAATTTGTTATGAAATTGAGTGCAATTTCCTTATCTAACGACACTGTCCAAAGAAGAATAGATGACATGTCTGCTGATATTCTTGATCGGGTAATCCACGAAATTAAATCTGCTCGACTCCAGTATTTAGCATCCGGCTTGGCGAATCTACAGATGTTACAAACTGTTCACAGTTACTGGTTTACCTGAGGTATATTAGTGATGGCGACTTTACAGATGAGTTTCTTTTTTGCAAACCTCTTGAAAGGACAACTACTGCACGTGATGTATTTGACACAGTGGGTTCATTTCTGAAAGAGTATCAGATCTCTTGGGAAAGCTGTGTGGTGTTTGCACAGATGGTGCTCCAGCTATGCTAGGATGTCGAACTGGATTTCAACGTTTGGTACTGAATGAATCACCAAAGGTCATCAGAACTCACTGCGTGATTAGTTGGAAAATATTAGCAATGGAGACACTGCCACAAGAGTTACAAGAAGTAATGAAAAGCGCCATAAGTTCTGTCAATTTTGTAAAGGCAAGCACTATAAACAGTCGACTGTTTTTGCAACTGCGCAATGAGTTGCATGTGCTGAATAATGCTCTGCTGTTTCTCACTGAAGTGAGATGGTTGTCGAGAGGAAAAGTTTTAAAATATATTTTTGAGCTTCATGATGAACTCAAAACGTTTTTAAATGAGAAAGCAAGACTGCAGTTCAAAGAACTTTTCAGCGGTAAAAGTGAACTGTAGAAAATAGCTTACTTGGTTGACATCATTGCCATCTTGAATGAGTTAAATTTATCACTGCAAGGACCAAATGCAAGATGCCTCAATTGGCCTGAAAAGACCCAATCATTCCAAATGAAACATCAGCTTTAGCAAAAAATTAAAATAAAAATAAAATTTACAGGTTGCCTACCTTATCTTCTTTCTTTGAGGAACATGACATTGAACCAGACAAAAGGATTACAATGATAATTTCTGTGAAAGAACACTTGCACATGCTTGCAGACGAAATTTCATCGTACTTTCCAAATCTACCTGACACCCATTTGCACTTGCCAGAAGCCCGTTCACAGTCTAAGTGGAAGATGTTCCTGAGACAGCACAAGAGGAGTTCATTGAACTTATTAACAGTGATGCAGTGAGAACTGATTTCCCTACAATGCCAGTCACAAAATTCTGCATCAAGTGTTTGCAGTCATATTCTGCTCTGTCTGAGACTGTATTGTGCCTTCTGCTT